TCCTTTGTCTCTCAGGCTGGGGTTTGACAGGACACAAATCTCATCATGGACTACTAAGCAAATACACAACTTCTTAAAATATTTTTTTCCTAACCAGATCACCCTCTTTTTTTTTTTTTTTTTTAAACTATGTTCCCTTGAGCGCCAGGCTTTATCATCACTATTAATATTGATGCTAGCTAGCTTGAAGTACTTATTTATTAATGTCCCCTAAACTCTTTGGCTTGATCATGTGTTTGAGAGCTGATCAGAAAATCACAGAATCATGGAATGGTTTCGGTTGAAAATGACTTTGAAGATCACCTAGTTCCAGCACTTCTGCCATGATGTCCTGGCTTTGGCTGGCATAGAGTTAATTTTTTTTTTTAAAGTAGTTGGTACAATGCTCTGTTTTGGATACAGCATGAGAAAATACTCTGATGTTTTGGTTGTTGCTAAGTAGTAAGCTTACCCTTAGTCAAGGACTTTTCAGTGTCTCATGCTCTGCCAGAGAGGAAGTGCACAAAAAGCTGGGAGGGAGCATGGCCAGGACAGCTGACTTACAGAACCATAGAAGAAGGGATTCTAGCTCCAGCACCTCTGCCACAGGCATGGACACCTTCCTCTAGATCAGGTTGCTCAGAGTCCCGTCAAACATGGCCTTGAACAATTCCAGGGATGGGGAACCCACAGCCTCTCTGGGGAACTTGTGCCAGTGTCTCACCATACCCAGAGTAAAGAATTTCTTCCTAGTGTCTAATATAAACCTTCCCTCTTTCAGTTGAAAGCCATGTCCCCTTGGTCTATTGCTACAGGCCCTTGTAAAAATCCCTCTGCAGCTCTCTTGCAGCTCCTTTCAGGTACCGAATGGCTGCAGTAAGGTCCCCCCAGGACCTTCTCCAGGCTGAAAAAACCCAATCCTCTCAGCCTGTCTTCACAGGAGAGGCGCTCCAACCCTCTGAGCAAGTTCACAGCCCTCCTCTGGACTCGCTCCATCAGTTCCTTCTGATGATGGGAGCCGCAGAGCCGATGCAGCCCTGCAGGTGGGCTCTTCCCCAAGTACAGGAGAGGGGCAGAATCCCCTCCCTCGCCTTGCTGGCCACGCGGCTTTCCAGCTCCCAGCCTGAACGAGCTTTACAGTCAGGGGACAAAAAAAATGGTTGAATTTGCTACACACTTGGTTACTCTTCTCACAACCTTCCCACTACTGCTTTGCAAACATTTCACATATTTCTTCATGTTTGCTAGAGCATTTCCGAGGAAGAGCAATGAAATACGAGAATACGCTATTTTTATATGGTTATATTTCAGAAATACACGCAATTACTGCGGCAGCACGCACGTACAGAGGGCACATTTCAGCAGCACCTTCTCCATCCGGCAGTGCAAGCGGCTGTGGGATGTCCCCTCCGACCTGTGCGGCTGTGGCGTGATCCCTGCGGCCGGCGTGACGCGGGCTGTCCCCTGACCTGCCCCACACCTGTTTTCCGGGCTGTTATCTCACTAAGAAAAAAAATGGCCCGTCAGGAAAAGGCTTAGAAACGTTTCGCGTTGCACCCCAGAGGTGGAGCGGGCTGCTCCGGCCGGGCTGCGCAGCGAGGGAAGCGCCGGCACACGGCAGTTCCCGCCCCTCGCTGGGACCTGCTGGGTGAGGGGAAGGAGAGGTTTCTCGGCTGTACCACTGCGGGCCTTGCGGGTGAGGACGACACGAGGCGCCTGACGCTCTCTGGACACTGTCCGGCTCCTCCGAGCCGACCGGGGCCGGATCCCAGCGCAGCATCCCAGCGCTACATCCCGCTCGCTGCCCCGGCATCCGGGCGCGCCCCCCGCCCCCCTCTTTCCCACCTCGGCGTCCCCCCGGCACTGCGAATGGTGCGAGCCGCAGGTGTGGCCGGCGGGACAAACCAACAGCGGGCGGGGGGGATCGGCGCGGCGGGAGGGCGGGACGGGACGGGGCTGGCAGCGGGCGCATCACCGGGAGCGACGCGGGCGGAGCGGCCGCCGCGGGAGATTGAAGTGCCGGGGCCGCGGCGAGGCGAGGAGCGTGAGGCGCTGCCGCCGCTGCCAGCGTCGTCCGTAGGGAGGAGAAGAGGAGGAGGGGGCCGGTAAGTGCCATGAGCCGGCGGCAGCGGGAGTGCGGCCCCGGCGGTGCCGGTGCCGGGGGGGCGGCCGGGCGGGCAGGGCACGGTGGGGCTGCAGCCGCGGCTGCGGGAGGCCGGGGGGCCGTTCCTGCCCGAGTGCCTGTCCCCGGCCTGTCCCGCAGAGCCGCCCGTGCCCGACCTGCGGGTGGGAGGAGGCGCGTGGCGAACCGGGAAAGGGCGCGCGCGAGGCGGGGAAACACCGGACTGCTCTCCCCAAGGTTGCTGGCCCAGGTGTTGGGACAGGCAGACCGTGACCTGGATCACAAAACCAATCTTGGTTTAAAGATAAAGTTGTTTTTTTTTTTTTTGTTTTTTTTTTTTTTTCCCTGAAAAAATTTTTTCAGCTTGAGTCAGCTTCCTGGGCTGATTCAGGGTATGGGCAGTGAGAGGAGAAACTCGTGGCTGGAGCTGCTGCACGTGGTACAAGTGCTGGTTGAAAGTGTTAATAAAGCTACTGGCTATTTAGAACATCTGTATTAACTCTAATGAGAGCATCTGTAGGAACTCTAATTAGAACATCTGTAATAACTCGTGAGTTATAATTTCGTCATTCTTATCTTGATGGAGCATTTATTTTAATGATGAGGTGTTTCAGGTGCCTTTGGGTGGAGGCATTTATCCTTGAGCCGTAGCAAATTTGCATATGGAGTAGATTTCTTCATTGAGGACTAAACCTGTAGAAATGGATTGTTTCTTGTAGAGCAGCACTTGGAAAAAAAATCTGTGTGTCATCTTCACTTGATCAGCTAAAGGGGCTGATTGCAGGAAAAGCAGGATTTTAGAATACTGACAACTAGAAGACTTTAATGCTCTAATTTTCTGTGTATTCACTTAACAGGACCACATTTACATCCTGTCACATACTGAATGGCCTAGTGTGTATAGGCATTCTTGAGTCTAACAGATGTGATGAAAGGCATTTGCCCTTCCCCTCACCAGCCTTTAGAATCACAATGACAAAAGGCTGAAATATACGAGAAGACAGATTTGTTAAATATTAGAGCATAGTTCTGCCTCTCACATGACAAATAGACTGAGGAAAAATAGGAGGAAAAATATTCCTAAGAAACTCTGTAACTGGACACCAGTTTGATAGGTCTCAAAAGCATCTTTCCAAATAACTTTTATCTACAGAAGAAGCAGCTCTTACATGCAGGACTCTGCTACGTTGAGTTTCTTGAATTAATGTGGCACCTGAGTCAGTGGCAGCAACTGCTTATAGTTCAGCCTTGTTAGATGAACTTTCCCATCTTCCGAGGAGAAGTTGGAGCTTTTCCTCCAGCCCCTTGCCGGTATTTTTATCCCCTTGTCTAAAACATCCATCCCCGTGCTGCCTCACTAGCTCCCTGTGTCTTGGAGGTCTGGCTGTGGGTAGAGCTTTGCTTTCGCTTCTTTCACTTTCTGTTCTCCTTGTCTACAGAGATCCCAGGAACTGGCATTTGTTTCTTGTTCCTTTCTGGCAAACCTGAGCTTCTGTTATGAAAGATAGAACGATGCTGCTTGTAAGGAGCTGGTGGAGCACTAGACTTGGGCTGCCTAATAACTTGTGTTTATTAAGTAATTTTATAATAATATATATTATTATAATATATATAATAATAAATATTATTATTACCTAGGGATCTCAAGTCACCACCCTCCCTAGGCTTATTACTGTCAGCCTTACAAGTTTGAAGAGCATCCTTTCTTGTCACATGTTGTGCATCAAAACCTTCTAAATCCTGTTTACAATGCCAAGCAAAATTTAATAATGCGATTGTGATAGAAATGTTTGGGCATCTTACAAGAGTGGCATACAAGAAAAGTAATACATTAAAAATACTGAATGGCTGTGGCATTTTAAAATCCATTTTTAATTAATTAAAATTAATTATTTTTTAATTATCTCTGTTTTATTTTGATCTTCTTTCTTGCAAGTGGATGGAGTTAAAAAATAATCTTACAATCTCATCTGTTTTGGGGGAAACCCCAAACCAAGCAAAGCCTAACTAAACACACAAACCCCACATACTGTGGATTAGGTTTCGGACAAAATCATAGAATGTAAAAGGGTTAGAATGAGCCTTAAAGATCATCTAGTCCCAGCTCCATTTCCCTGTGCAGGGACACCTCCCACTAGACCAGACTGCCTACAGCCTTATCCAGCCTGGCCTTGAACACTTCCAGGGATGGGGCATCCGCAACCTCCCTGGGCAACTGGCTCCAGTGTCTCACCACTCTCACAGTGGAGAATTTCTTCCTGATACCTAAGCTAAATTTCCACCCTGTGAATTTAAACCTGTTATTTCTTGTCCCATCACTACAGTTCCAAGTCCCTCCTTCCTTTTAGGTCTCCTTCAGATACTGAAAGTTTTTTGTAAGATTTCCATGCAGCTTTCTGTTCTCCAGGCTGAACAGCCCAAACTTTCTCAGCTGTCTTTGCGAGGGAGGTGCCTCACTCCCATTATCAACTTCGTGGCCTCCTCTGGACTTGCTCCAACAGCTCCATGTCCTCCTTGTGCTGGGAGCACTAGAGCTGGACACAGTATTCCAGGTGGGGTCTCAGCGGAGGGGAGTAGAGGGGGAGAGAATGTCCCCCCCTTGCCCAGCTGCCCACGCTGCTTTGGATGCAGCCCAGGATATATCTGGCTTTGTGGGCTGCGGGCACACACTACCGGGTTATGTTGAGTTTTTCACCAACCCCCCCACCCCACCCGTGTCGGTTCTAAAACTAAGAAGCAATGAAATGATCCTGACCGGAGGCGAGGCTGACAGCCCAGCCCCGGGCGCTGTGTCCGCCTCCTCCTGCTTCCTCCTCCTCCGGGACTACGGCTCCCAGCAGCGCCCGGGCTGAAAGTGAAAATAAGCGCCAGGTTACGCTCCTGTTTGCGCCCTCCCCTCCCTCTCTCCCTCCCTCCCGGCGGGCCGCACGTGTCCTTCCTTTCCCTTTTGTTTTCCGCCTGCAGGCCGGCTGCGCGCCCGGGACGCGCCCGCTCCCCCCGGCACCGGGACCCGCCGGAGCTGCCCCCGGCCCTCGGCAGCAGCCGGGAAGCCGCGGCAGTGACGGAGCTGCGAGTCCGGGCTGCGCAGGAAACTTTGCCGCTTCTCTCCGCGCTCCCCACATGCGAGTGGACAACGTGAAGCCGGCTGCTGCTCTTCCTGCCGCTCCCATTCCTGCCCCTGCCGCTCCTGCGGCTGCCGGCGGGCCAGCGCTGCCCCCGGCTCCGGCTGCTGCACCTGTGCCCGGCCCCGGAGCTGCGCCGCGGCTTCTCCTCGCCATGTGGGACTAGGAGGGGTCCGGCGTTCTCCTCGGTGAACATGGATGCGGCGGGCAGGGCCGGTGGAGGGGAGCAGAGCCATCCCGGCAGCGGCGGGGACGCCCCCGGGGACACGTCCATGGACCGCTACCTGCGATCTCAGGGCTTGTACAGGAAGAAAGTGGCCAAGGATGGGTCCTGCCTTTTCAGGGCTGTGGCCGAGCAGGTAACTGGTTACATAAACAAAGCTCCTTCTCACGAAAGCATGGGAAGTGGATCTCATTAGTGGGTGGTAATTAGTGTTAAAACGCAGACAGGTATAGGTTAAGGTTATGCAGTCATGTGCCAGTGAAAAACGTGACTGTTAAAATGATTTCCACCTTGTGAGGTGAGAGAAGTTATATGTGTGCAGCTGCCTTATGCCACCAAGAAATCCTTATCTGTTTTGACCTTCCACCGCCTCCTCAGAGCTTTTTTCAGTGTGAGATCTCAACACAGGAATACAGCTGCTGGGTATGATATTGTCTAGGAAAAGGAATTTAGTGGAAAGAGCTGAGAAGCCACGTTCTTAGTTTTGTTAATTAGTTGACTATAAAATTTGAGAAAGTAATTTATTTTCTGTTCTTCCTGTTGAATTCCCCTCCCCCATTTCAGTGTTAGTGTTAAAGGAAAAAAGCGACAGCGTCATCTTGTCTTAAGTACAAGCAAACAGCAGTGGGAGCTCTGGTGCTTCTGATTGTGGGAACCCAGATTCCTGTGCTAATTATACACGGATCACTTTTTTTAAAAAAATTCCTTTCCCCACTGAATTGATAAGTTCGGGCAAGCAAACACTATCGATTGGAAGTGGGTGTTTTTTTATCTCAAGGAAATATATATATAATATATATATTGCTATTTTGACTTTTTAAGTTAATACATAGAAAGTTTCTCTCACACTCAAGTGTTGATAGAACTTTTTTTCAGCTATTACATTTTTAACATCCCATTCTTATGGAATCATTTAGTTTGGAAATGACCTCTGTTATGAACGCACTCGAGAGAGTGATATGGAAATTAAGGTCTTTAATTGAGAGTTGTTAAGTGTTTATCTGCAAATTTGGTCTAATTTGTGCACTCTTCATTCAGAAAAACTGAATTTGGAAGTGATTTTATTTTGAGGGTGGTGTGTAAGGACTTCAAGAGACTTAAATTGTCTGGAACTTCTGTGTTGTACTTGAGATAACTTGGAACCTGCGATGAAAGTAGTAGTTTTCAAATAGAGATTTGAACAGGAGGTAGAATGTGGGCGTCATATTGGGAACTGAATTCCTGGCTTCCAAAAAACTGTTTGGGCAACAGGCCTGTTGAAGAGAAGGTAAACATGCACCGTGAGAATTGGTTGGACTTAGTTTGAATGAATACATGTTGGTAGATGACTTCCTCATCCATTCCTGCTGTGACTTCCTTTCAGTTAACTGAAGTCTTTTACAAAGAAGGCAGTTAAAGATTAACAATAAATGCTATTAATTTGCTTCGTAAATCCTCATAAAATTGAAGGCTTGAATTTAGCAAACCTGTGAATTCTGCAGTTACTTAATTTTTTATTAAGTAATTGAAGTTTGACTTGCCTGAAGATGTTGCTGCTGAATGAGTATGCATATTAAATATTCTTAAAAATAAAACTAGAGTATTTCCAAACCTGTATTTAGACAGCAGTCATTAATTATTTGTGGCCTGTCATCAAAACTCCTGAGATCCAATGTCACCTTGTTCTCTTTCTCCCTCTCTCCCTAGGTGTTGCACTCTCAGTCTCGGCACATTGATGTTAGGATGGCTTGTGTAGACTATCTTCGGAAACATAGGGAGAAATTTGAAGCAGTAAGTATTTTTGTTTTCTTTGTCAGCATTTAAGAAAAGTTACCTTATTCCTTCTGCTTTGGTATATTTTGCACCTCCCTGTGTTTGTGGCAAATATTCATTGTAGCTAAATATCGGTGCTATTTAAATTAATTAGCACATATGTGGTAATAACTCATTTTCATAAGCCTGGAGAGACTTGTGTACTCCTTGGATTGGAGTGATGTGGTGTAGGAGGAGTTTTTAGTACTCATGAAGAAAGGAAAGCAAACTTAATCTTCAGTGGTCTATAGTGAAGCTACTATAATCTGGATTTTAGTGTAGTATAATGCCTACTTTAATAAAAGTTATAAGATGTTCTTGTTGTGCTAATTAATTGCTTTTCCAATATATAAAGGATTTGACTGATGAGATTAGTGAAATTCTTTTCAGGGTCTGCAGTTTATTATGCATTGGCACTGTAGGTTTTCTTCCCTAAACATCTGTAACTAAGTTTTTCATCAACCATGGATGTAAAATATTGTGATATTCATTATATTTGGTCAATGCTGTTAGTATTAAGGCTACAAATTCCTTTTTTTTTTTCCTTCCTTTTAAAAGAGTATTAATCAATAGTGGTGCTTCTGTTTGTGTTTTTATGAGTTCTAGTGTACATACTGTTACCTGATTTCCAGGACAAACAGAAGGGGAGTGAGTATGTGTAAGGATCTGCTACTAGAAGATTGTTACTCTATTTTTCTGTTCTAAATTTACCAAATCCAAAATACAAAGACTGTTTTAGGTATGCACTGGCATAGGGAGGAGAAGGAAAGCAGGAATAAGGGTGTGTCTTTGTGCTATAATTTCTGACCTAGTACCCTCAGCTCAAATGTGAGTGATCACATACCATGTGGAAGTTATCAGGAATTAATGATATAGTATATAATGATATAATTATACATGTACATATACACATATATACATTATATATAATGATATATAATACAACAGAACTCTCTAGGACAATGCTGCTCTGACTTGACTCCTTCCAGTTGTTTCTGACTCTTGGATGTCTCTCTTCTTAAGGTCATTTTTTCACTGCGGACTTTTTAATCCCTTTCTTTCCAGAATTACCCCGCTGACTCTAGTATCTGCTTCTCTACTCCTGTTCTCTTGTTCCATTGTGTAGTGTTTTGAAATTCCATGCCCTTTTTGACTCTTAAGTGTATGTTGTTTCCCATATTATCGTTTCCCATCCCTGCTTTGTTAGCCCTAGCTGGTTTTAGCATGGTTTTAGTATTGTTTTGGTCTCTCTTATCCAAACTCCTGGTCCCAGTGTTCTTTATTTCACTTCAGACATTACCCAAGGTGTGACCTCTCCTCTGTCCATCTTTGCTGTCCATCTGAAAAGTCTCCATTTGAAAAGTTTCTTGTGAGAGTAGGTGTTTCATATTTGTTTTCATTTCCCAGTGTTCTTCGTCCCTCTGGTACCTCGCTTCAGCTCTGCTCATCTCTTTTGCTGCCTCTGTCTCTCACTCTGCTTTGTTTTCTGTCTGGGATACAGCACTGTTCTCTCTCTTTAAAAAACCCAAACAGCATAAACAACAAATGTCTCTTTCCCTAATCTCCTGGTTCAGCTGTTCACTTGCTGCCTCCACAGTAGTTACGCTTTATTGACATGGTGCTGCTTCCTGAAGTTCTCTTCTGTCTGCTGTAATAATTTCAGCTTGAATTTGTGTCTTTCTTCCAACTGATACTGTTAAAACCAAGATTTCAAGAGTGTAGCCACCATCTTCAATTCCATCCTCAGCCTTTCTTGAAGTGTTATCTTGAATTGCTGCTGTGTTACATTTATTCTCTAACTCTTCAGTTTCCTATGAGAACTTCCTGGTGTCCTTCCTTTCTTCCTCTATGCAAATCTTCAGTTTAATTTTGACACAAAAAGTAACTGCTGTCTGTGATGATGTTGGGCTGATCCACCTTTTTCAACTTCACACACGATTGCTTCTATCTAAATTAAAAATGATGGCCAGGTTTGTTAGTTCTCACTTCCAAATGGCTAAACAGAACTTATAAATTCACTACTCCACTCAGTTCTCCTTATCTTGTTTCTTACTCACTGTGGGTAAAGAGACCATCCAGCTTCTAGTTTAAGTTCACAAAGGGATTTCCTTCTTGTTTTGCACCTCTGTGGATCTTTATTTCAAGTAAATCAAACAGATTGTGACTAATGAGCAGTTTTTAAAGGCAGCCTCTCTGTGGCCAGTGTGGCTGAAACACTTTGAAGTTGTCTGCAGCACCCTTCTCTGCTCTTGGCACATTTGAATTTGACCTCCTCATGTGTGTTAGAGAATGCAGTTGAAAGATCATTTTCTTGGGCTGGCACTTGAAATGTAGCCTGATTGTTTGCATCCTTTGCTGAAAGTAAAAGCAGTTTGAGGTGATAGAGAACAGAAAAAAAAGTGCTGTCTGAGTTGGCTGTACTAGATCTTACCACTGCTTCCATACTATGGAAATGTGACTCCTGTTTCTCATTGTCCATTGCTGTTTATTTAACAGGATATTTGAATTCAAGTGCACAATTATTCTCTTCAGTGACGCTCTGCATGCCCGAGATGAATTGCCCATAAACATCTACATGACATAATCTTTGCTTTTTTCCAGATTCCCCATTTGTCTGCCGAGTTTCTGTTTGGGAGGTTTTGTTTGGTTTATTTTGACTCATGTGATGATTTTTAAAGCTGTTTATGTGGTTATTTTCTGCAAGGCAAACCTATGTGTTTGACTGTTCATTTCTTCATTTCAATATCCCTTTATATTTAGTTTGTAAGCTTTTTGAGGGCAGGGGAGACTTCCATTTTCAGTGGTACATTCCCATTGGTACAGTGGGTCACAGGTTGGGGATTCCATATGCTGCACTACTGAAAATGACTAATTACTGCTGGTTGTTTTTCTGTTTTTTTTTTTTTTAAATACAGTTCATAGAGGGGCCATTTGAAGATTATTTAAAAAGTTTGGAAAATCCACAGGTATGTTAAACCTCATTTATAATAGAAAGCAAGTACTTTTGTTGAAGTTGATGGCTAATTGGATTTTTTTTTTTCCTTTCAAGTGTGTTTGATTGAGCTTAGGAGGTCTTTGAATTATGTGAATATATAGTTTTATGTGTGTACTCTCTACTGTAAAATGATTTGGGGAATTGTGTTATGTCTTGCTGAACTCCAGATTCAGTGTTCATATATTTATTTTCAACAATGATTTCTTGCATCTCTTGATCTGCTTATGAGGAGGTATAATTGTATGTTTGTTTGAACTTGGTTTTCTTTTGTTTTCAATACAGGAATGGGTTGGACAAGTAGAAATAAGTGCCCTTTCTCTTATGTACAAGTAAGAAAACCTTTCAGTATGTTTTACTGAGATAATTTCTGTTGTTTTGTTAGTAAATCAGTTGGAACAGGAAAGATAGAATTATGTTATGCCATACCATAGTTCTCCATAAAATTATAAATATATTTGAAAATTGCATCTGTCAAGGGGTTAAATTAAAATAGAGAACTGACTTTAGGAAATGACATTTAATCTGCGATGTGAATACAGGTTTGCAGTAATGCCATGTATCTCACCTGCACAGCCAATTGTGGGTAATCTCATACAGTTTGTATTTTGTTAATTTTAATAGCCTAGTTTTCCTGTTAAAATTGCTTTTCTTCTTGTCTTTCACCAAGTATTTAGTTCTAACCCTATTGCTCATATGTGAGCTGTACCCATTTCCTATGTACTAAATCTTTATTCACAAAGTAGTGAGAAACAATGTGATGAATATTTATAACTGCTTTCTAATTATTGTGCAAGGCAGTGAGTAATCCACAGCATCTTCACTGTCTGCTGTTTATAAACCCATTAAAAATTCAGAATTTCAAAATGTTTACTGTAAATTAATGGCTTTGTCCATAGGTGAGACAGCTGATAAGAGGAGAGAATCAAGCTAGTTAAATATTACCTTTGGGTGCTATGTGTGGGAAATTGCATGGAATTGTATCTTTGTATTTTTTGTGAGGTCAATGGGCCAGCTTGGAGTTGCATGTCCTGCATGTATGGGGGAGGACTGAGCTGAAAGTCAGAGCAAAGCTTGGCTCAAGAGGCTTAGTGAGAAGGTCTGATGGTTACACTGAGCCAGGTTGTAGAGGGATATATCTCCATTTAAGTCAGCAGAATTGGATGCTTAATCACATCAGAAACTGGATGGTCACGATCTGTTGTATTTCGGGCCACGAGAAATGTATTCTCCTAAATAGGAGTAGTTTATTTTGTAGTTGTTCCATGCTGGTATCCAGGGCCACAGCTGTTAAATGAATAACGACAAATCCTGGTTGATAATAGTGGGTGTTTTTAATTATCATTGAAAGCAACATGATGGTTTTGTGGCACAGATGCAACTTTTATGTGGTATTTCACTGCAGAGGTGAGGCCACAAGGCTAGTTGCTGCCATGCTTGTTTTGGGAAGACAGGCTTCTACTGAAAAGGCAATTAAGAATCTCAGGGAAAGTAGGAATAGTGATAGAGTTATGGGCAAAGTGTTGCTTTCTTTCTTTCATGCTGGCAGACTTAAGGGAAGCAGAAGTAAGAATTTCCTGTTCTGTTTCAATAAGCGACTTTCAGACTTTTCAGGCATAGGATGGAAATTCAGTACAAATAGGTTTGATTTCACTTCCACTCCTCGGACCTCACACAAATATAGGTCACTTATCTAGTAAATTTCTCTTTGCTCCCTGAAGTGGATGAGTCTTCTTTTCCACTCAGAATTGCTTTTTCTGAGTAGTTGTAAAAAGTTTTTGTTTTTTAATCCAGAAACTGTGAATATACTTAGTTATTTTGCAAGACTGATAACACTTTTGCCTGTGTGAGAAAGAAGTTGAAGAAATTGACAGGTTGTTAAGCGAAGAACTCCAAGAGAACATTATGGATGAAAGGGAGAGAGAGAAATATTTAAGTTTAAAATCATGACAGAGATTGATTACAGCAGAGAAATCACTAGGTGATTATACATAACTGTGGTTATGTATCTTTCTTGAATTTGACTTCAATGCTCAAATTTTTACTGATACTACTTTTAAAATAAATTCTTATCTGCTACTTTTCCCCCCCCCCCCCCCAGGAAAGATTTCATAATATACCAGGAGCCGAATGCTTCTCCTTCACGTGTAACTGAAAATGGTTTTTCTGATAAGGTAAAAAAAAAAAAACAAACCTATGGCTATTGTGATGCACTGAAGTAAGAAGTTCTTTATAAACAAGAAGCTTCTTTATAAACAGCAAGTAGTTGCATGTGACTTTATTATTCAGCACAATGAAATGTTCTGAGAATTTAATTTCAGCAGTTTGTTTTGTCTCCGTTTAAGGCAGCTGTGCTGTTAATACATGTAACACTTCTTTTTAAATAGATGGGATGTATTTAGGGTGAGGCATATATTTCTACTAATACAAAATTCTGTAAAAATCAATTTTCAGGCACTGAAAATTCTGTCTTGAATTTTTTTTGGACTTTTGTTCAAATTCTGTTTGGTTTAAAGGACATCCACCAAAAATTTGATTGTTTTATTGATACATTGAGATCCTGAGAGATAACAAAGCACATGGGTGCTTTAAATTTAATTTAAAGGGTGTGCTTATGAAAAATCAAGTGAATTGCAAAGCCTAAAATATCCATGTGATTTTTTTTCAATAGGTATTGCTGTGCTTCTCAAATGGAAACCACTATGATATTGTGTATCCCATAGAGTATGCAGAGAAGGCTGCTCTGTGCCAGTGTGAGTATTAGCTGTTAGTTAAAAATATATTTTTGCTAAAAATCTTAAAGCTATCAGTATTAGGTCTCCGGAAAAGGCTCTGTATGGAAGTTTATTATCGTCATTTTCAGTAGCTTGGTGTTCAGTTTGTGTTGTCAATGCCTGTATGATTACCATCTGAAACAGTGGAATAAAAACTGATTTAGCTGGTAATTGATTTTGCTCTTCCACTTTCTCCTCCCCTTACCCAGCTCTGCTGTATGAGTTGCTCTATGAGAAAGTTTTTGATATGGATGTAAAGAAAATCATGGCAGAACTTAGCGCTGTTGGTGTGACAGAAGAAAGTAATGGGAGCAGTGAAGTGTCTGCTTCGGATTCGGAAGATGACAACTACAGGTAAATGAAATTGAAAAGTTGCCTGTGAACACATCTTAAATGAGTTTTCTTAGTTTCTGGTGAGTAGTGGAATCCAGCAATCAGGGTTGAAAACATTTAAAAATTACTAAGAAAAGAAGCACAAAGAGGTAGGGTTAGAAGTGTGAAAGAATGCAATGCGTAATCTTTACTTCCCTAAGGATAGGCTTCTGGCCTTCCTCTGTTCTTCCTGCAGTCTAGGTTTCAGTCTTTTTACATAATGAATTATTGCCATTGCAACATGTGCCTCTTCCTGTTTAGAGTAGCAGAATTCCCTGGGAGAATTGTTAGTGTGCCAGTCTGGCATGGTAAACTGTGAGAATGACTTGGCTCACTCTGCAGCTGAGTAGAGTTACAGGAATCCGATCCAGCTTGCATGGCTTCCAAACATCTGGGAACTGGAATACCTGCTTGAGGTGAAGCTAGTGGAGACATACAGATATAGCTTGCTCCATTTTGATCTTGATCTTAAGGAAGTGGGTTTGTATTGTTTTTTGCTGAATTCTTCAGCAAGCTTTGAGAATTTGAGCTGACTCCTTGTGCACAGTCAATCATCCACAGTGCCATTTTTGCACTTAGATATTGGCAGGTTTTCTTCTGTTTAATAGGATTCTTAATTCTGGCTTGTATGAAATTCCAGTGAAACTGTGGAGATGGTTCTGTATCAGTGGATCATGTCCCCTCTTCCCACTGATTGTTACAGTCCTTCTCTAGGGCTCTGCTGTGTGGCATGTGGCAGAAGAAGTTCTTAGAGCTGTTGGGAGCTGGTTTCTCACACAGGTTGAAAATAACAGAGAGGAAGATGATGGGAATCATCACAGGAAAAAAGAGTTCTGGGATTAGCTTTTTTTCGTGTTTGGAAAAAAATACTAGGGAATGTTGCCAATTAAAATACAAAGTATTTCTGCCTCAGGAAACAATTATTATAGCTAAATGTCAGCTGATGGAAATCTTGACTGCTTTCTGATCTTGGAGCTTTCCTGGGATTCAAATGCAGTAGCCTTACCCTGTATCTTTGGAATTTCTAAGAAAATATCCTGCTAACCTCCTTAGCACCTTTGGAAATAAGGTCATATGCTCACTGGAGGCTGTGGAACTCAATGTTTTTGATTGAAACCATATGTCCTATAATGCAGGGGCTGGCGTGTGTATATGTGACTCTTGACCCAGTGAACAGACACTTTGCTGAGTTTATGAAGTCCTAAATCTTCTGCTTGTCTTAAAGTTGATTTAATCATGTTTCATTAGCTATTTTTCCAGAAGATTCTTTTCATTTTATAAATACAAATTTTTCAGTTATGTTGTTAGTAAGTGCAATAGTTTTGGGGAGAAGTTAATGTTAAGAGTTGCCTACAACTGTTGTAGGAAAAATACTTGGGACTTTCTCTGTGGAAAGTATTTTTCCAGTGATGTCAGGTGTAGAAAAAAAGAGTAAATTAGAGTGCCTGATGCAAGTTAACTAATGGAATAGGTTTTGGTTTTAAGGGTTTTTTTATGTCTACTTTGCAATGTTTTCCTCATGTAGTTGCAAAAATTTTAAGAGGACTTGTGTTTCCCTGGTCTTCTACCCCTTGCTTTTTTTTTTTTCCCCGAGTGACAACAAAGCACACATTAAGATACACTTCCTAAAACTTGTACTTAAATCCAAAATCTTATTTCTTTATCAAAGTAACTTAAAAATACAGTTTTTTATTTTAGAAAGCTTTTTCATTTCAAGAGATGAATATAATCCATGATATGCTTATTGTCAGGAAAACATAAAGAGAATTGTAGTTTCACTATTTTTATCCCCTTTTAGATGTGTCTTACCTGTTTTTCAGGACTTAGTAATGCTGTAATTCATTATGAAAACTTAACTTTCCTCTGTCCTATTACAGAAGTAAAGCTACAACAGTTAGTGATATGAATGGAATGAAGTCTCTTTCTGGCAACAAGGTATTTATCCACTGAGACTTCTTTTCTTTCTAATAACTTTTACTGGGCTATATTTTTTAGTGTTTAATATTCATGGGAGACTCTTGAGTTAATAGCTTTCTTAACATATAATATCCTAAAAATTACCTGTTTCTTTGAAAAGTAATGTATACTTTTGATGTGCTGCGAGGTGGATAGGGTCCTTTTAAGTGCTGCTTAGATTTGTTCTGGCATGGTTAAATGAACACCATTTAATTTTTTTTTTTTCAAAGCTCTTTATGCTCTATGTATTTTTAGCATTTCCATATTTCAGTACAAGGCTTGAGCACTGTGATTGAAAAATGCAAAGCTGGATATGTCTGTGTAGTTGACCATTTAGCACTTTGTTCTGTTCTGTGCAGCACCTTGAGAGCAATGGGAATCCCACCTCATTGGTGTTGCCTAAAAAGGTTCTGAAATCACTTGATCCCTTGGTTTACAGAAACGTTGAATACGATGTTTGGCTCCGATCCAAATGGGGTGAGTAACAGAATACTTCAAAGTTGCAGCTTTTGAAAGCTGTGTGAAGTGAAGCCCTCCTGAAGAACTGATGCAAGTGGCAGTTTAGGTTTAGTTTGGTTTTCCTCATAGGGGTCAGTGGGCAGATTTAGGGCCTGAACACCTGGTTTGCATTTTTACTCTATCAAGAAAGTAATCCTTTTGGTATATTTAAACTAACAATATATTACTGCTTCTGTATTTACAGATCAGCAAAAACAAGATTTCTCTATTGCTGCTGGCATGCAATACTCCATTGGAGATAAATGTAAAGTAAGTAATATTGAATCGTAGTTTAGAGACACATTAACATTTTGCTCAAGGTGGCCATTTTCCCTCTTTGATAACTATTTTGATATTGCTACTTTCTAAATACTCTTGGCTTGTGTCTTCAGGAGGATATACTTGTTCTTTAATTGTTGGCAGTGTTCATGACTTACAGCATACGTACGACTGATCAGTGCAATTTTGTTCCACAAAGTTAACTCCAAGCGTATATGTAATAAGATGACTGGGAGTCTCAATGTTAAGCATGGAACTGTAGATCCATGTATTTATGTCTGACATTGGAGATAGTGATTACTCTTTGTTTATTAGTTTTGATAAAATCTCAGTACTTCCAAGTAATGAAGTACAGCTTGCTTTAATTACTGCAAATCCTGAAGTTTTGGGCAATTCTTCCTCTCAGGGTGTTGCAAGTGTGTTACACAATTGGTCTTCAAATTCTGTTAAGATTTGTATGAAGTGTTGCTGCTTAAGAAGAAGCAATGTTTGACATGAAATTCTCAATTTATAGATTAGTCTCCTTAGGTGTGTTAATTAAACTGGTGGTACTTGGCTAAACATGTTTCTTTCTAGGACATTTGACCATCTGTTAAAGTTACTAATGTTAATGACAAAATATTCAATTGGGGGTTGGGGTAATCATGCAAAACAGGGGCTATTTTAGTTTGTACTTTTTTATTTGTGTGATGGAATCAACCATAGTGACTAAACTGCAGGGAAAACACATCTCCAAACCGAAAAAAAAAACCCAACCACAAAATACCCCACAAGCCCTCAACACCCTGGCCCCCAAACCAACCTAATACTGAGTTGATTATTTATTGCTTAATAGTACTTAATAGGCTTAAAATTTGCATTTAAGACCCTAAGGCTGTCTTGTGTAGTATTTATTGAAGGGTACAAATATTAGGAGAAAACACTCTGGTAATTAATACATTCTCTCTGTCAAATTTTATATGTATGTGGCAAGACAGTAAATACATAATATAAAAACATGGGAAGAAAACATGAATAGTGAAATTAAAGTTGGCCAAATTAATACAACTGTAAAGCCAAATACTGTAGTGAAACATGAAGAAAATTATTTTTTATTCAACAGAATAATTTTAAGATCATAGAATGTCAGTCAAACAGGTAGCACTATGATCATGTCTGAAGAACTTCTTTTAGTTGTTCTTAAAAAACCTTTTGAAAATAACTCCTGAAGTAATTGGTGTTCATTATGTTCCTAATTAGACTACATCTCACTGAAGTGAAGTGGATTTTAATGGGGGAAAGCTTTGAGTTGTATTGTGAGAAAGAGTGTTTTCAGTAAAGCTGAAAAGCCTGGCTGCATGATTGCTTTTAACTTTCTCATGTGGTTTTGAAAAGCATATTTCATTAAATAGCGTTCCCCAGCAAGCTGTTTGTTTGTGGGCTGTTTGTTTAGTGTTGTGCGTGTGTTTGTTTCAACAGTATTTTTATTTCTTTTTGAAGAAGCCATAGAAATTGAGGATTGTTTTTGGTTCATTTACTAAACTGTGTGTGTATTTCTCATGTCTTTAGTTGCCCAGAGGAAAAGTTGTGTTTCTAATGTTGATATTTTAAAGTGACTTCTTCTCACAGTCCTCTTTAGAGCTAATCCACTTTTTTTCCTTACTCTTGTTCTCTACAGGTGCGCTTAGACCATAATGGGAAATTTTATAATGCCCATATTCAAGAAGTTTTTTCACAGAATGGGCCAGTTGTTGTATTTGTAGAAGAGCTTGGAGCAAAGTGAGTGCTTAATCTCTTTCGGGAGGGAGCACCAAACTGAACAAAGCATTACTTTGGTTCAGAGTTAAACTTCAGCCCCTGAAATGTATCTGTTTCTTTACTTGGAACAGTACTACCACAAATTTGTTAAGAAAACAGCACACTATTAAACAAAAAAGAAAAATTGATTATCACTTCATACTCCTTTCTGTAGTGCCATGTAGTCTGGGTATTACTTGCGGTGTAGAACAGTAACTACATTAATAGTATTTTAATTTTATTTTTTGTACACAAGATTCAATCCTAAACAGATTGTCACCAGGCTAATAAGGTGTTGCTTGTACTCAATAATTAGATGCTGGATTTGTGACAAGCTTTTCATACTGAAAGGTCTGTTAAAGCACTGAGCTCCTCTGGTGGCTGAGTAGCTATGCCTGATTTTAATACGGAGTTGCTGTTTAGATCAGCATTATCTTTGCCCTACCTGGGACAAATTAAAGTTGTTGCTGTGGATTTGATGGTTTTGGTTGTGTGGGGTGGGGTTTTTATTTGTTGGGGTGTTTTGGTAGGGAGGGGGCAGGGAGAGAGCAGTTTGAGACATCCCGAGCTCTGCTGTAAGTCCTGTGACTTCTGGGTCAAAAAAATACACATTGATTATATTTTGGGAAGAGGAAACACTTTCAATCAAGGTAAATGAGAAAGATGCCCATTAATCTCATTTGATCTCTATTAAAAAAAACATACTGCAAGATATGAAGATTATCTTGCAGTTTGAACCCATTTTAAATTGGAGTTTAACCCGTTTCAATGTCTGCCTTTCAAATAATGTAAATAGTTGCTTGAAGCAGCCTACAGCATCCTCACTTAAAAAGGCAGTAATTGTTCTGGGATATGCACCCTCAATGTAACATCTTTCAATTCTGGCACCTATTGCAGTGTTGGTAATAAATTTATCTAAGTATATTGCTTTTATTTAAGTACAGTGCTTTTTGTGACCATCCCCTTTTTCTGTCTGCCCTGAAGACATTACAATAGGCACCTCACAAATGGCTGATAATTCCTTACTGATAAGTTTGTGTCAACCTACCAGTTTTATGTAAAAAGGAAAAAAAAAAAGGTTTTGCTGTTCTACACTTTGCTTGAGTGTAATCATAAATGCAAATGTTCTCAAAAATGGGAAGATCTATCAGTATTAATGAACATGTGGTATTAATTTATGCAAGTCCCAGTCTGGTCTTTTAAGATATTATTCTCTCCATAATTCCTTGTTTTGTAGGCATGCTGTCTCACTGAAGAGCCTTAAACCTCTTCCACAGACCTCTCCTATGGAGGGCTGGAACACTGTGCCAGGGAAGAAGATAAAAAAGTTTTACCCAACATGGGGGCAGAATGCTCAGCCTGGTAGGACTGTACCTGTCTTAGTGTGGCAGAATCTTCTTTGTCAGATGTTTTGTCCCATAGAGCTTAAGAAAAATGATTAAAACTAAAGTCTTACCTGTTTTCACATTGCTATCACAGATGCAGAGTGCAGAGGGCCAAAGAATCAGAGCAAGTCAATCAAACCCCAGTCAGCACTACCTCCTCGACTTCAGCATACTGTGGGAACCAGGCAGCATCAGTTCTTGTGTTCTGGGCCCCAACCTCATCAGACCTCAACTGAGCAAAAAGCTCCCGTCAGGAATCCTTCCCAGTCTGCAAGGTAAAACTGCAAACAGCATCTTCCCTGGCTTGAACTCTTGACTGAGCTTCTGGAAGCCCAGGTGCCTGCTTCAGATGCTTCCTGCATACTCTTTTTGAAATATGTTGCCATTGAATTCTTAGGAAGTGTCCCAAGTCCTTAAGAATACACACAAGCACAGGAAATTATAATAATTTTTTTTTTCTTGCATGGCAGAAGCTGCCTACAAAGCCACATATTTTTTCTTGGAACATGGATGTTAGTGTGGATTTTGTTGTACTTGTTTTTCTTTTTGGTTGGGCTGAAATAATGTTGCAAGTGCTTATTGGGCATGGCTAAGATCTTCTCTCAGCTTCTGCTGAACCTGTCATAGGGGGCTGCTTTGCGTTCTGAATTAGAAGTCCCTGAAACACTCTTAGTGTTTTGCCTGCGTTTGTTGGTAGCGACTTTTTGATTCCTTGGGCTGCTGCAGTAGAGTTTCTATTTCCATCATTGCATCTTTTTTCCCTCCTAACCCACAAGTTTGTACTGGATTTGATCTGGAATTTCTTAGTCCAAGTGATCCTGCTTTGTTTTTTCCCGCCAGGAAAGTGGAGCGTGAGCGAAGTGAGGAGCTGAGCCATGGCAGCAGGGACTGTAACTACTTTGGGCTGTCTCCAGAGGAGCGCAGGGAGAAGCAGGCCATAGAGGAGTCCCGTTCCCTTTATGAGATCCAGCAGCGGGATGAACAAGCTTTTCCTGCTCTTTGCAATGTATGCTGTATTCCTTGTAATTAACAGTGCATTTTCCATACTTGTCTGTGAACCTTTCATTAGCCATTGGTTTGCTGTCCTTGAATCACACTGCAATTCAAAAATGAGGAATATTTATTTTGCACTCACTTTGTAATTAGAAATACAGGTATCTATGATGCTTTATATGTTAAAGATAAGAAAATACACATAGTAGTTTATCTTGGGAATAATTGAACATCCACCACACAGGGCTTTAGGCATGTAATTATGGGAGACACATGAGCAGCTGTAGGATTTTGGAGAGATCGTTCTGTTGATGCAATTTTAATGAAAGTAGGTGGGAGTCTCAATACATCCAGGGAAGTGAGCAGATTCTGTGGGTAAGGAGCTACTCTCCACTTAGGTTTGTTCTAGAGATGTGGGGCTTTTTGGGTTTAAATCCTAGGGCAAACAGAAACAAGAATAAGGCTGGAAAGAATGACTAGGTGAAAGACTGAAGCCTAAGGGACAGAGGTTGCTCTCTCCCCCTGAGCAGTAACAGTTTGCTGTATTTGCTGACTTGCAGGATATGATTTCTTGTCTGAGTGAAACAGATTTTGTCACTTCAGCTAGTGACATGAATGCTCTTAAGGGACAATTGGCAAAATTTAGCAATGAAGGAGAAAGAGTGGATGAATCTGCAGGATACTGAGCCAGATTCCCCCCTTCCCCTTTCTGCTTGTCACAGACATAAATATTATTTGTCATGAAGGCATTATAGTATCATAGCAGGTGATGATGAAGTGTCACTGGACTGATTACATAAAGTGATATTTCTGCTTTTGTCAACTTCTTCAGAATCAGTCAGTCTGTCAGGCTGCTACACAGACTGTGGATAATGTAAACCAGAAAAAGTTCTCGAATAGTGAAAGAAGAAACAGCAAGTGGACAGCAGAGGTGGAAGAGCAGAAGGAGAAAGGTAAAACTAAATGGGTTTAGATAATGTCTCTTTTTTTGTTTGCTTGGTTTTGCTACCAGCCTCAGAATTTATTCAAAATGAGGCATCTGTTTAGGCGTCGAGGGGGGAGTTATCCTAAGTAGCAGTACCAAACTAAACTGGGCTGGAGTTAGGAAAGTACATTTCCCTGCTTCGTGAGTGTGGCTGAGAGTAGACTTCTGGCTGGGATTTTTGTAATGAATGAGAAACAAACAGACTTATCAAAGCTACCCTAAATTAGATCTTTTTAAAATTGTAGAGTGTGTGGCAGAAAGTGCCAGTGGAAGAAGCCTTAAGAGTAACTTATGACAAAAGCAAGTAAAAGTGTTCACTGTGGCATGGTTAAGAATTAGTATACAATGGTACAGGAGAGGGAGAAGACAGTGTACAGGGTTGGAAAAACAACTACTGTTGTACTTTCTACTGTTTACAGTAGAAAGTGCTGTCACATGGTTAAAATTTTGTTTGGGTTTTTTCCCTCCTCCCAGTCAGTTACAACACTTTAGCTTCTCTTCATGGACTTAAAGCTTTTCTTCTTCTGTGAGGAAGTGGAACATGGCAGTAATAGATGAAAACTGGGTACCAGGAGGAAGGTAGTTAGTCAATCTCTGCTAATTGCAAAGGAATTTTTTTCTACCTTAGCAAAGGAACATTCACGTTTTTAAGGAATGTTCATGTAGAGAAAGTAAAGACTCCAGTGTCATCATGGATTTGGCACGATGAAGGGCATGGCATGTTCAGCTTCCTGTGCTTTTTGTGACGCTCTGGATTGCGTTGCCTCTTGTGAAACTAGGTTAACAGCCCTATGGGAATCAAGTATACTTCCTTCTGAGTGTTTAGGGATTCTTATTGCTGCTCAGGGATTTGACAGTAATTCTCAAAATCAATACTGTTTCCATTTATACTCCTGTCTAGCTGTGACAGAGTATATAACCAGCTTTTTAAAAGTCTATATCTGCTATTGATCAACTGGGCATGAGTGTGATTGACAAGCAGTGGTAGCCAGGTCTGAGCATAAGCCAGAACGTGAGGAACTTGTTCAGATCTTATTATGACTTATTATTATGACTTATTATGTCATGACTGTTTTTCAACACTGTCTTCCCCACTGAAGTGTTTACTGGTGCTTGAGAAGTGAAGGTTTGTGAAGCAGTCTGGAAACTTTCCTAGATCTTTTAATCCACTGCAACGTTCTAAACTGTTTTTACTCAGTCAGAAGTAGACAAGACTTTGAGCTTCTGTTATCTTAACACTTGAATATGAAAATGCCAATCAGAGCACTTTCACTTTAAGCAAAGTACAAACTTCTGTTTCATTAGGAGCAATTTAGGATTAATATATTTAAAGGGACAGCTGCATTTTATTCCTGCTTTCTCCAAGCATCACTGAAATGGTTTCCAAACATCAGTAAAGAACTCCTGTAGAGCCTGGAGAACCCAGGGTGAAGTAGCTGCTCTTTTACTGCCTGAACAACTGTTTGTTTTAGGATGCTTTGATCTTTGGTAAAATTACAAATTTAAGTTTTCTGAAGTAATATATACTAAGATACAGGTTTGATTTTGAAAGTTTAATATTGGAAAGACAAACTAACTGGCTTAAGTTGTGATAGCCATAAGTGGTGTAATGGTTCATTTACTAGGTTATGTCTTGGTGTTGCAGAGTCAAATTCCAGGCAGATCCACTTAAGTCAGAAGCTTGAGCCAAATTCATCTGAGGTAATCTTAAAGAAAAGACCAAATTTTTTTTTAATGTTATTGCTTCTCTGATACATGATTAGCAGAGCAATAGCTGCCTTCAGAGCTGTGATTGCTGCTGCTGCTTTAGAGCTTTTAGTGAAATACTCCTAAGGCTGGAGGCTTGTATTTCTGTCAGCTTTCCTCAGCCCTGTAATCTATACATAGTCTTTTTCTGCAATTGGAGTCCTCAAACCTGGGCTATCGAGAGCAGTTACGAATCTGGATTTGTAATTGCTTAGTACAGTCTGTACTTTCAGTATAATGGGACCACAGAAGATTTGATGTTTGCTAATAGCTACTGTGCTAACAGACCATGAGCTCTGAAGTTCAGTGAAGATTTGTGGCCTCTTGTTGGCTTTTAACCTTTGCTGTCCTTTCAATGAGCAAAATGTCACACTAGTATAATATGTGATGGGTGCTTAGCCCACTTTGTATGGAGTGTGGTTTATTTTTATTATTTTGTGAATAACTGTTTGTAAAGTTAATCTGACTATTAGACTAGCAGTGTATGTTGTTTCTAACTTTGCTTTAGAAGAATAGTCAAGATGAGAGTTATCCAAAAGCTTCATCTCCTTTGGAACAAGTAAAAACAGATTCTCCGATTCTTGCTGAGCAAGTAAGAAATGTTTGTTTGATTTCAAAGTTTTCCAGTCAGGACACTTCAGACAAAGGGGAGCTTCATCACAGCCACGTATGTATTACAATACTGGCTTTTAATTACATGGTCATTATGGTGATAATGCTAAAATTTCATATTTACAGTTAGGAATCTCTTATGTCAAGTATAAAGATTGTAAAAGGACAGCCCTTGATAGAAAAGTAAAAGTATGTCTATTCTTTCCTGAGAGAGGGGTTATTTCATACTTTTCTACCAAGGTAACTGTGCTTTTCCCTTTAAATTCTTTAGCTTCTCCTTCTCAGGTTTCTCCGAGGTTATTGGTAATTGCTTGAGGGTGGCTTTTCTTTTGGGTGGGAGATATTTAAAGCATGAGGAGGTGGTTCCAGCACTGGCTCTGTGGTACAGGCATGGTTGGACAGAACTTAGAGCAGAGCTCTCCACACAGTGATGCAGCTCAGGTTTCTTTGGGTATGTTCCTAGTTAGTACCTCCATGTGGTGGAGTAGATAAGTGGTAGTCAGATAAGACTGAGCCATCAGGGTCAGCAGCCATGATGGAATTTAGATTTGTTTGTTTTTACAGAACCTGACGGAGTGCTTGACGACCATAACTCCAACGCCCTCTCCAGTCTTCTCTGAGGTGCATTTACCTCCAGCAGTGCCTTCTGTACCAGCCATTGTGCCAGCTTGGCCAAGTGAGCCAGCAACATATGGACCAGCAGGTTTGCAGAAATATTAACATTAATCAGAAGTTACTAACCCTGGAAATACTTCAACCCTCTTACTAAGTTGAAGATACCCACAGGAGACACTGGCTCATAAAATTCCACATTCCAAAAGCAGACATTCATAGGAATGTATTTTCTCACTGCTGAAAGCTGGTGAGACTTCTAACAGATCTTTAATTGCCTGTATGTCTAGTTTGCTTGACTCCTAGCCTGAAGGTATGAGAGAGTAGTGTACTTAATTGGCTGTTTTTCCTCTTGAGTGGGATAGCATTGAGTTTTGAGGATCTGCTTAAGGTAGAACATATTGTCAGCATGTTGAAACCTGGTAAGTGTTTGTGCTCCGTGTCCCGTGTAATAATAGACTCCTTGGTTGACTGAGGCCTCAGCTTGGGGCTTGTATGTCTGGAACTAATGAGATCCATTTGGACCTGAGTTGCAAAGCATGTGTAATGGGTTTTTGTGTGCTGTGCATATCTTGTGGTCTGTGGAATTAGCTTAGGATCAATAGTGCTCGTTAGATCAGGTGCTGCATTTTCTCTCACACTGCTGTTTGTGTACGAGAACCAGCTTTCAGATCAGCCTCCTTTGTCCACATGAGACAGAGGCAATCCTGTCTCACTTGACTGTGTCCATGACAGAAGATGTGCAGCCAAATTGATCTAAGCTCAGATTCAGAGTTGACTCTAAATGACTAGTCGGAATGACAACTTCAGCGATTCACATAAAAGTTTCAGTTCCCCCATTTTTTTCTCCTTCCTATTTCCTTCTGGCATTCATAATTTTAAAAAGAAGCATGGGATCAATTTAGCTATTTCTGGAAAGCTTAACCTACTTGTTTCATTCTTTCTGAAAACTATTCTCCGCATTTTGAATCCTGCTTTTCTGATGTCTTTTGGTTTGTGATTATTTATTTTTATATACATATATATTTTCATATATTCATTTTCCATAACTATATTTTCATTATTCATATTTCATATATCCATTTATATTGATACCTGTTCTGTATATATATATGTATGTTGGGTTTTTTTCCGTCTAGGTATTCCAACCCAAATACCTGCTTCTTCACTGATGCCAGGACCAGCAACGGGACCTGACTCTATTGTATCACAGGCTCAGGTAACATCTGCTTCAGTTGCTGGAGTTCCTGTGTGGCTACAAGCAGTTAACCAGCCTTTAATGCCTTTGCCTCAGACTCTGAATCCCTATCAGGATCCGCTATACCCTGGATTCCCTTTTAATGAAAAGGGAGAAAGAGCCGTTGCACCTCCTTACTCCCTGTGCAGTACTGGGGAAGACTTACCTAAAGGTAAGAAGTCTGAATTTTACACCACTTTTCCAAATAGGTCTTCTTTTCTTAAAATGTAGATAAACACAACTTTTTTGGGTCCTGTTGTCATTCTTTGTCAAAAGATCCAATAGTTCCATGATTTAAGATGTGGGAGGGAATATTGAACAGAATTGTAACTCTTTAGTTTGCATTGTCAATGTTGCGACTTTCAAGTGGTCACACCTGGAAATCTGGTAGGATGATTTTGTGTCTTAGCTTGTCCCACCGTAACTTGAGGTTTTGTGCATGTAAAGAATTGTCTTTGGAGAACTGCTCCTGTCAGAGTAATAGGTTTGCTCATGTCATTTAAAAGCTGTTGAGTATTTCCTTACTAATCTTGGAAAATACAGGTTTTGGCATACTATGAATGCAACGTATGCCCATAGAGAATATCTCATGTCTGACTGCACAGTGGTGTTTGTTTAGTGAACTGTTTCTTTAAAAACTAGTTCACAGACTGTTAAAGCTGAAATTTAAACTGCTGTTGTGTTCTAGAGATCTTCCTGTGGCAAAAAAACCCCAACTAATCAATTGAAGACAAGCAATAACTTAACACCAGTGTTCTCTACTGAAATGGAACTTTATGCAGTTTTTGTATCAGATTAAATATTTTAGGTCTTCATAAATACTTTTGCTCTTGTTTTTTAGATAAGAACATCCTTAGATTTTTCTTCAATCTTGGTGTGAAGGTAAGTCTTCAAACTTATGTTTTCATGTTTGTTATAAAAATCGCTTGTAAATGTTGGAACTTGGAGTGCAGGAGTTTTGTTGCTGTACATTTCAAGTCCATCTTTCAGTTTGAAGTACTTTCTTATTTTGTGTTCTGTTAACTGGGATTCCAGCAATTGTCCACAGTGCAGTTCAAGTCAGCAAAAGTCAAATTCATGTCAGCAGCATAGTGATAACTATTGGCTTTCAGCTCTGGCTGCATGACCAGCAAATTGTGCTTTTCAAAGTCCCAGATAAATCCTAAGTGTGAAGATGCTTATTTCAGATCACATGAATAGGGAATGAGAAAATGCCCTCAGACTGCAGCCCTGGCTGTGTACTGGCAAAGCCACTGCACTATAGATCCCAAAATCTTTTCCTTAAGTAACCTGCATATCTGTTCTTTCTGCTCAGGTTAATAACAGTATTTCACTTTTTTTCAGTAATTACAGTAGTGCGTATGTGTAAATGTGGTGCAAATCTGTGTGTGTGTGGTTGGAGAAGAGGTTCAGCCAACATTTTCCATTGCTTGGCAAGGACTGGCTGTTTGCTTTATTTCTCCCTTCTGCACATAAAAAATGTTCCTTTTTTACTTTCTTACTCCTTATGTCAGGCAAAGGACTTGGGGCAAGGTGCTGAGAGCTCTTGGGCTTATTTCAAGGGACTTTTGCCATAGCAACAATACTCTTTGGTGTCTGGGCAATGGAAAGAGGGAATATTCAGCACTGTTTCCAATGTTAATTTGATACCTCTGCCTAATATAAGTCTCTGTGCTTAATAGGAAATCCGTAAGTTGTTAATTAGCAAGTGTCACCACAATGCATTTAAACAGCTTGAGTTTCCTAAGCTAACAGTCTTGGGACTCTCCTTACTGCTACTGTGGATTATTAGGATCTAGCCTGCCGTTTTGGTACTTCAGCACCATCTGCTGGTCCCAGCCTATGTTCTAGCAGCTGTGCTGCTCCACTGGTGTCTCAGGGTACAGCAGGCCCGGGAAATACTCTCTGCATTGTCTGTCTGCTGCTCTGCTCCAGACCCTGCCCTGCCCACACCCTTCCACTGCACATTTAGAGGGGAGGGGCTCCTGCAGAGGCGGTCTGTCTAGGCTTTTCAGGATGGTTTGCTCCAGGGACTGTTTACAGAGTCCAGTTCATTAAGATGGAGGTAGGGAAAAGGGAAAGGGTCATGATCTGAGGTGGATAACTTCAGTGCTGTGGCCTTTGCAAAGTGAGGTCTAGTAGAATAACTTGCCAATATAAATAAGTTGCCAGTAGAATAATTGCCAATAATTAAGTGTGATTTTGGAAAATTAGTTTGAAATGTTTCTCTTCAAACACATAGCTAGTTTGACTTACTGTGTCAAACTTTGTCTTTAACCATATAGAAATTGAATAACTGTTGACCATTTCAACTGCATTTGGAAGGAAAACAAAAAATAAGAACACCATCCTAGAGTCATAGGATTTAGAACTGAGGGCAGTCACTGTAAAGAAAATTAACTTTTATCTCCTATAAATAACTGTTTCAAAATGGTAAATGACTGGTGTGCTTTTATGTCTGTCTGAACATTCAAAAGACCAAATAACTGATTTTTTTTTCCCTCCTGCTGTCTTGCAGGCATACAGTTGTCCCATGTGGGCACCCCATTCTTACCTGTACCCCCTGCACCAGGCCTATTTAGCTGCTTGTAGAATGTACCCAAATGTGTCCCTTCCTGTGTATCCGCACAACCCCTGGTTCCAGGAGGCTGCTCCCACTCAGAACGAAAACGAAACCGCTCGACCAAACAGGCACTTTGCTGTCCAGACCGAGGCCAGGTCCAATGGTCAGATTCCACAGGTTGACAGATCTCCATCACTGCCTCTGATCATACCTTCAGCTCAGGTGACAGAAAGTCAAGGACAGGTCTGTGTTGAACCAGAGAATCCAGCGCAAGCTCTTCATGCGAACTACGAGGAGTCCCTGAGAGGGAAGAATATGTTCCCACAGCCGCCCTTTGGACACAATCACTTTCTAGGAGCTGTTCCAATAGCACCTCCTTTTTTTCCTCACTTCTGGTATGGGTACCCAGTTCAGGGTTTCATTGAGAATTCAGTAGCAAGACCTAATGTTGTCTTGTCACCTGAGGATAAAGAGGCAGCAGTTGGCACCTCTGCCAGCATGTACGTGGGCAAAGAATGCAGCCCTCCAGTTCCTGGAGTGAACTGTGCAGAGCAGCTCCAGAAGAGCAACACTGGCAGCGGCTCCAACACCGTCCCATTCCCAGTGGCTGCTGCAGGGACTCCGAAAGATGCTTCAGCCAGGGCACCTCAGCTGGAGCAAACCTGTCCATCGGCTGCTTCTAAGCAGAAAGCAGATGGGCAGCAGAATCGCCCTCCGCAGACACAGGGCCCAGAGAGGCCAACGGCAGGGCCCAGCACGCAGCCACTGCTGGCAGAACCTCCCAAAACCGAACTGAAACCTGGCACTCCTGGTCGGAAGGAGAAGCCTGCTAAAGGGAGAGAATCCAAGGGTGCTGGGAACGTGCAGACGGAAAGCAGGGTCCAGAGAACGAGGGAAGAGAGCTCTGAAGATGACACTGAGGTTTCCGACATGTTGAGGAGTGGCAGATCCAAGCAGTTCTATAACCAGACTTATGGAGGAGGCAGAAGGCCCAGACCTGACAGAGGTTATTCCAGCAGGGGAGGATACCAGTTCCAAAGAAATGAGGACGCCTGGAAAGGACCACCCAGCAGAAGCAGAGATGACGGCTACCAGTATCAGAGAAACTTTAGAGGGCAGCCATATAGAAACGACAGGAGAAGGGCAACACTGGGAGATAATCAGAGGGGGCAGCAAGCATAAAATGAGTGGATAATTGGAAAATTTAAGAAGCAAAAAGTAATTTGAAGTAGCAGTTTAAAATCTTAATTTCTTTTTAGTGAAGTTCAATGATACGTTTAATTTTTGGCTAATCTGTGGCAAGTAAAGACTAGGAGGATGTCAAGTCCTACATAGGTTTTTTGGGGGGATTCTAGAGTTTGTTTGGCTTAGCAGTTTTTCTTCAATGTCAAATTAGGAAAAAAAAATAGGTTTAGTATTGGGTTATTTTTTTTCCCCAAAAGGTTTGCGTTTGTGATAGAGGATGGGTATGTGCGTTTACTAGAGTGACAAATGACAGCATTTGATGTGATCTAGATTCTAAAATTGACAGTAACATTGCACCAAATATAAATGTATATTTTATCATTCAATGCCTTAGTTCTGAACTGAGCTAAAGGAATTCTCAGCCTACTGCACTGTTGTCTCTGATATGCTTCCAACCCAAAGGCCTTTCATCTCAAAAAGAAAAAATATCTGTCAAACTTGAATGTTTCTCTTGTGTGTTACACGTATGGCAGCCAGCTAACCCTGTGTCTTAGGTATGTTGTATATAGTTCTTTTCATAATCATAGGGTATATTTTTGAATTTTAAAAAGCATTTATTTGTTGAAATCAAAATCAAGACAAGCAGTCAAGAATACCTGTGTATGAACTGATAAGAATGGCTGTTTCCACCATGAATTCTTCTTAATGCTGGTGTGACTAGAATGGTGCCTATGCCAACTGAATAATTACAAAGACAATAAAAATGTAGATGCTATGCATTTCCAAAATAATTCTGCATCTGTTATAATAGCAGAAATTTTTTTAATGCCACTTTAACACTAATGCACTGACAAATCCTAGATATTTTGTGAGGAGATGCATAAAGTACGTGTTACGTTTTTTTAAGTTTGTACGATTGAGCTACTGTTCAGTATTCCTTTGTTGTTGCACTGTTGATGTTTTGCATGTACAACTCCTTGCTGGAACTACTTTTAAAAGCAAGAATGGAGAGTCTCAGTGTGCTCTGCTCTTCCCTACAATTCAGAAGAAAGTGGCTTCTGCCTTATATTTTTACACTGTGTCAGAGTTCTGATGCTGTTTCTTCTGAGCCCGGTTACGATCTCCAGTGTTCCTGTTGCCTTTGCAGTCTGGATGTTCAGCTGTCCAGGCTCGGAGAGTGCAGTGTGCACAGTATTCACTCAGCTCTGTTGCTCTGTAAAATTGAACTGTTGTGTATATTTTTATATCTCTGTATACAGTAGTGTAGGTGATGGTACCCATTCATTGTGTCTGAGATTGTACACCCTTGGTGCAGAAACCAGAGTGATAGTTACATGATAAAGAGTTTGTTTTCAGATGCATGCTATGTATAAAACCCTAATTAAAATAAATGTTTTGTCTTTTCACTTGCTTTCTAAATTATATTCATGTATTTAAACCTTTTGCAATGGCATTCAATGAAGTGTTGTTACAGAGCAGGTGTAGTAAGCAGCAGAACGATGAATAGGATCTGGCAAGCAGCGAACAAAAAGAAGCCATAAACTTAATTTGGAGTTCTTGTTTGTAGGGGTAGGGGTCATGCTGGAAGCTTTTTGGTTTTTCTTTTTAAAATCTAAATACTTTTTCATTCAGAAATGTATTCAGGATTTCAAAAGAGGCAATCTTCACGTTTTCAGGTAGAGAACAAGCTCTGAGGGATTTAACTGTTGTTACCATTGTGATTCTCTGTTTATTTCAGCTCCGTTCAAAAATGTAAAGAGGGCTGCTTGTTGAGTTTACTGATGCATTTTAAACTCTCAACTCCAGCTTTTGTAGACAACCGAAATTTGTGCAGCAGTCACTGATCTAATCATCCTCTCCTAAAGCAGGTAGTTCATCACACGCTTTGTTGCAAGAATGAAGGTGGTAACGCTTCCTGCAGAAATTTATGGGGAAACGCTGGGGAAGAGAGGCATGGCAGTAACTGGGAGGGATGTGCTTTTAGAATTTGCTTTCAAAAGCCAGCTTCTTTCAGCTGGGCCTACACGGCCTTGCTACTCTAGGACAGTGAAGAACTGGAAGGTGCAGATAGAATTTCTCCAATGCTGATCAAGTAAGTCTGGTTTCCTCTCTTGCTGAAGTAGACTGACTGGCCCAACCTCTGGCCTGGGGCAAGATGTTTTAGATTGCAGGATTATCCTGTTAACATATGTAAGATTTAGTATGTAATGAGCTGTGATACACAGCTGAACCACATCTTTACCTTATCCTTATTACAACTGATAGAGAAGATCACACAACATCAGTCCAAAGGGAGTTAAGCTGTACAGAGGAGAACAAGTTTAGTCAGCTTTTTGAAGTTTCTGTCTGATCAGGGTGGTTGTGTAAGGATGTATTCAATACTTCTGCTTCTTTAGGGAAAGCACTGTACTCTGCAGCTGTGGTACAGGTGCACTGCTGTTACAAGACAGAGGGAGGCAGTTTGTATATACAGTACTCAGTACTGCCAGAGTTCTGAAATAACCATGATACTAACACACAGAATGGCAAATCACAGAAAATCCCAACTTCTTTCTGTAGCTTCTGGGGCAAAAATGTAAACAAGGGACAAAGCCATGTTTTGTCATGGTGTTTTTCACATGCCAGTAAAGGCAGACAAATGTTTAATGAAAAATACCCTTCCTTTTAAGATACATAGCTGAAAGTTGTTTTTGTGTCTGTTTAAGTAAGCAGGAACTTTTAAACCTTCCTTTAAATGATTCCCTGAAGGACTTTCATGTATATGGAAGTAAGTTTTTAACAAGGTTTTTTAAGTTAATTTCTTTTTTTTCATAGTAAGGATCAATACTTTTACTTTAGGGAAAAGTAACTTCTGCATCTTAGCCGTATATTTCTTTTAGATTATTTCACTGATTATTTTCATCTCACTAGGTCTAAGAACATGCACAGGGACAGATGATTAAAAAAAGGTGTAGCTACCTTCTTTTACACTCTTTGTACTGCATCTTCTATGTGTGCTACAATGTGAGAAAAGGGTGTGTGAGATTATATAAATATACATGCTTCTGAAAAAAGTAATTGAAGAAATTCTGCAGTGTCACAGAAGAGTTGTAAGTTAGGTGGATATTTTATTTTTGAAACCCTCAGCCAGAGAGATTTAACCTTTTTAAAAGGAGTCACTCCTGTAGCGTAACATTCTTAGTAAACTTTCCTCTTATACAGAAAACAGCTTCAAAGATTTATTTTAAAATGAGGAAGTTCAGTCAGTACTTGGTACATGAGTAGGATATATTGAATTGAAAACCTCCCTTAAATTTTGAAAAATCAGAAGACCCATTTGCACAATTTCAAGGTGGTCTATTTTGAAATTATTACACTGAAAATAGGGCTGTGTCACCAAAATATACAAAGTGGCAGTTTTACTCAGACTAGGATGTTTACTGCTACTGTCTCATGTTAAATGCAGCAAGAGATTTTAAGCTCCAAAAGATTAATTGTTCTAAAACCTGATCTGAGCCATCTCATCACAGCTGTTTAGATTTCAATGTGCATGTCTGGATCCCAGTTAAAAAGATGCTGGGATTCAATATTTAGTCATCCAGGAAGAAGTAGTTTCCACTCTTCTTTTGTTCCACGTCCTTGGGAAGAGAAAAAAGGTCACCATTACTTGAAGTAGTCTTTGGCAGACTTGAACATAACTAAATAAAAGACACTTATCTAAACTCTGGTCTGCTTCCCTTATTCCTCTTCCTAGTTTACACTTGCTGTTTTTCCAGCACAGCAGAACTGCCCTGTCAATCTTCATTTTGTTCCATATTTTAAAATCTGGTTTCATATTAAACAATCACGGCTCCTGTACTGTAAAGATGTTCCTCTCTTACCTTGATGGAATTAAGTTTGTTTATTCTTGGTCTGTAATTGTTGGGGTCTCTTCTAAAAGTGATTTCAAGCTGAGATAAAAACTTATTCATTCCAGCCAAAAGAGTCTGTGGACTGTTGAGAGAGAAGAATATTTTAGCTACATTTTTAGAAGTTTTCTATCATACGATTACAGGCAACTTTGATCTCTGTCCTAAGCTCACTCAGGTCTGGAAATGCAAATGTGAGCTGTATTTGACATAACATGAAGTGCTACATTTCTAGTTGAACCCTGTCTCAGAAGCTGCTGAAAGATGAGAGTAGTATCTCATTGTGGCTTCCAGCTGTGACTTTTACTTTCTTTTTATTTTGTATCTACACGAGTGTGCTGGCACACTTACCTATATTCAAGGAAAAAACCTCCAACACTTGCACCATTCACAAATCTAACAAAGATCATAACATTGCTTTCTCAAGTATGAGTGAATGATTTTGATTTTTGAATTCCAACATGTGTGTTCTGGGGAGAATACCACCAAAGCCAGGGTGGCAGAGGATTGCAGACACATGGCAGACCAATGTATTTACTTCATCTGGCTTGTGCCAAGTACTCACTGTTCTAAAAGCCTGGTTTCTGATAAGGCTGCTCATCAAAAAGTCTCTGTAATCTACATGAAATTATTTACAGGAACAAAAGCAGACATCAAAAGGGACAGCTCTGAAGGAGTAAAACAATGCACACTACTGGCAATGCTGGCATCAAGACTTGCCCTTCAGTACATCTGCATACAGGTACCATTAGTACGCTGCTTTCTTTTAATACATCTGAAAGTTATTTTGAGAAGGGTAGTTTACAGTTAGTACTTTTCTCATTCCTTGGTCTCTTCCAACTGTAATTTAGCCATCATGCAGTTGCTTAAGGCTGATCTAGTTCTTGAGGGCTTGGTTATGTTCCCCAACCCTGCCCCAACTCTGGTTTAAGGCAGCCTGTAAGTGAGGATCAATCCCATTTTCTGTTCCACGATTCAAAACAAAAGTCAGAACCCTTGAGACAGCCATGGATGCATCTTAAATTTCTGTAGGCAGAGATAATAATCTTGTTTAGTAATCCCAAAGAATCTCTCACCTGTTTGCCAGTGTGTTCTTGGAAGGAATGCCATCAAAAACAATCACACGATCAGCAAGATATGTAGCCATGATAAAATCATGTTCTACCACAAAAGCTGTTTTTTTAGCATGGAGAATGAAACTGAAATGAGGAGAAAGAAGAGACAGTAATGTGAACTCAACATAATACTACTGCAAATTTCAGTTCCTTGCCCACCATGTGTACTCACCGTTTAATGACTCTGGCAGCCATCAGACGCTGTTCAGAGTCCAGATATGCTGAGGGCTCATCAATCAGATAAACATCTGCAGGTTTACCCAGACAAAGAGCTAATGCCACACGCTGCAACTCACCACCAGACAGCGTCTGAACCTGGTGGTGTGGGGGAAACAAGGCCATGCTTAGTTCAGGAACAGGTGGAGAGTTAAGACAATGAGGATGTTGATTCAAGAAATTAATACCTCCTGGTCAATGATGTTTTCTATCTGAAGAGGTTTCATCACGTCAGTTACAAACTGGGGGTGTGTATAGGCATCTCTGATCTTCTCGTGCAGCAGCTGACGGACACTTCCCTAGCAAAAGGAAAATGCTGCTATTCAGTTTTATGCACCACAAGAAAACAAGCAGAAACAGAATAAAACAAAGTATCTATCTAAAATAGATATAGATATAAAATAGGCATAAAAGAATTTCCATCTGTGCATTCTGCAGCAGACACGATACTTAATAAATAAGACTGAAATGTACCGTAGATTTAGGGCTGATTTTCTGTGGTTTGTAACTAACATTTAGGACTGGAACCTCACCTATAAAAAGACAAAATTAATCATGTAAAAAAGAAAATTTCCAGTATCCTTAAAATAGGTTTCAGCTTGGGTGTAACACATTACCTCCTTCGTCAGGTGTAAGTCTTCCCGCAAGCATTCGGATAAATGTTGTTTTGCCAGTTCCTAAAATACAAGTTACACATTAATCACTTTTTAGTAATTTAAACCTCTAACAATTAAGTCACTGATAGAACAACAACAGCAAAGACTATTTAATAAAGAATACATTTTAAAATTAGACTGCTTTGAGAATTCCTATATTAACTTCCAGCGTTTGCTACTACTTGCTTTTTCAAATGGAAGTGACATCTTAAAACTGCCACCTGTGTTTTTAAATGGGGTAACAGGCAAACACGGTGGCACTGTTAACACTCAGTAACTTCATGTTCTCCCCAGTCAGGGGACTCATGCTGTGGTGTCTTCACCAGGAAACAAGCAGCTCAATCTGACTCAAACCCAGTAATTTTGAAACCTGGCTCCCTAAATAAAGAAGGGAGCATATTCAGGGCTGGAGAAGCAGTTTACAACACAAATCGCACTTACCATTTTCCCCTAACATCACCATAATTTCAGAGTCGGTGAATTCTCCAGCTACTATGGATAGTTCAAATTCTCCCATCTTTTTTTTCATTCCTGGATACTTGTACATACACATCTTTTTAACCTCTTCTTCATTAGCTGTTTCAGCTACTTTAAATACCAGAGATGCATCTCGAAACCTTAGATTTTCTGTTGGAACATAGCCATCTAGGAAAATATTTATGCCTATAATGGGAGGAAAAAAGATCATTAAAAGAGGTCTGTAACAAAGTAGAACAAGATGAATTTCAATTCCTGGCTGTAAATTCCATTCAGGTAAAGAGAATGCTGGATTTTAAATGCTATGTTAAAAGAAGCAACAAGACCTCCTCGTTTAAGGTGTGCACATTATGCAAATTGAATGAAAAAAACCAGAATGGCTGGAGCAGCTCTTCCTGAAAACCCACTGTTAGTGATGTGTGTGGAGTTTAAAGGAACTCCTGCTGTCAGGCCCATTCTGTCAAAGCCAGTTTTCACTGAGTCTCAGTACTACAAAAAGGGTTAATTCAGCTGAACACTTACACACCTCTGTACTGAGCAACCTCTCTCCTGCCCTTTCTCTACTGCTTATAGGGTCTTTTGTGTAACTCCACTGTTTACAAAACACCTGCAAGCATCAAAATTATGTCCATTGCAAGAGAAAAAGGGCATTTCATAATGAAGGCTTTTGGGTTGAGTTACAAATTTAGTATCATGCAACACAGAAATTCTGCAAAAAATCAAGTTTTTTCATTGCTGAACTGTAACAGGAAGAGGACATTTATATAGCAAACAACTGCCATTTGCCATTTTGCTGTCTCTTTTGGGGATGTTTAAACAGAGAAATATGACAAGAATTACCTTCTCTTACGCTGAAAGGCATGGTAACAACACCATAAGCACTTGGCACACCATACAGGCAGCAGATAAAGTCAGAGAGATAATCTAACACACTTAGATCATGCTCTACAACAATAATGTACCTGAAAAACAGAGCCAAAGAAATGCTTTTTTACTTCAATGTAAAACATTTTTCTTCCTTTTTTTCTTACTCTAGTCTTGCATCAACAGGAGTTATCAACATGATTTTTAGTTAATATGGTTTCTTCACTTTATACTAAAAAAAGGAGAGAGTTCAAATCTCTCACAAACATTTTTTAAACTGTCCAATAAATTCATGAATGATAAATTGGAAGTCCATCTTCAGTGTAAACTGGCAACTTCTTTATGTACAGTAAGTGGAAGGATGTTGATTGATTTAAGTGAAAAATACTTATCACATTTAAGAAGAAAAAATCTTTGTGAGAAAGAGATGAAGCAGCAATATTCAGGTGAAAAGCAACTACCAGTATTCTCCCACCCTTATTACAAAATTCTGAAATGAGACAAGAAATTACAGGAAATAAGCTTCCAAAATGCAAAATAATAAAACATTACTGACTTGGAATATCTGAAACATTTGTTAGTGTACCATACTGAGAAGTGAGCACTTCTGAGAGGATGGACTGGGTATTTCTTCCCTCTGTAAGCAATCATGCATTGTTATAGTCTGGAAAAACATTTGAAGCTTGTATTTACCTGTCAGGGTTTATTAGGGATCGAATAGTAATGGCAGCCTTCAAACGCTGCTTGACATCCAAGTAGCTGGAAGGTTCATCAAACATGAAGCTAATCCCAAAAGGAAAAATGAAGTCTTAGTGAATGCAAGCTTTCTACTTATTCAAACATAATATCAGCATTTCAACCATTAAATACATGGAAATAAAAAATTATCATTATTTTTACTGAGAAAGCAAGACAAAAAATGAGAACTGTGCATACCTGCCTTCATTCTCTACAGACTGTCATGTGAAAGTCAGTTAAGTATTACTTTCCCAAAAGTTGTGACAAAGTTATCAAAAGTTACAAGAATCAGCATTTAGGATTCCCATGCACTCACTCAAAGTTACCTTAAATTTAACATGAACTGAAAAGTCCAACAATATTTTAGAAGACTGCAAGAAGGACATCTTCCAAAAATAGAAAACTGAACAAGGAAAACCACTTGAAAT